CACGAATAGTGCGTTAATCAGATAAAGTGTTTAATATTAAGACATTTCAGCGTTCAAACATCGTATTCAAATTTCAATAGATATTATAATAAAGCCCGGCCTGAATTACTACCCCGGCATAATGAGTGGATGATTTTTAATTATATAATAGCTTTTCTATTATGGCATGTTTTCTTCCTCTTAAGATTACATATGTTTTATCGACTAGCTAATGCGTTAACGATTTGTAGAAACCTTTCAATTTGGTCTTTGTAATAAAAGTTTTGAAAGAAACGTGTATTGATAATGCTTGGGCACGTTGCACAGGTTGTCATATCATCTTGTCAAACGGAATGCGGGATGTTACGCTAATATTAATTAATATTTGCTTCATGTGATAATGGTGTGACAGATCATCTGACTGTTAGAAACTGTTTTCAACAAACGACGTTATATTATTTTTTCATCTTATCAAGAGCCCAAGAAAACCAAATGCAGGCTTGGCACAGCCGGATCTCTGGGCTAATTAGACGTACTATAGACGCATACTTGAATATTGAATAATAATACTTTTTTGCACTTAATTGTAATTTCTTTTTTTTTTAATTAGAATAAAAAGAATAAGGTGAGATTGGGTACTTTGACAGATCGCCAAAAATCAGTGTTGTGACGGGGGGATTATAGAACTTTATATTGAGATAGAGAAACTCGGTAGTTTGGACACTTGCATAGTGCTTTTCGTATTGGATTCGGGAAAAGCTTTTTACAATGATTCCATGAATCGGATACATATGCACTGTTCGAATCAATTTTTTATATTAATCACGAAAATCGCACAAGACTTTTTACACGCATTTAACCACCATTTGACAAATCACCGACTGTTAAGCCTTGCAGTCTGTATCAATCTGGTTCTAATATTCAACTTGTCCTAATCATTTCCGTCAGATCGATCCTAACCAAACCATGGCCACAACAGCACCCGAAACGCAACATGGACCCGAGATTGCTAGTGAGAGCGCAGATGAGGGAGTCGGGCATTCGTCTCATGATGCAGATTCGCACCCCTCATCAGAAATTGCATCACCGGCGAGTGCAATACAATCACATGTGAAATTTAACGCGAATTTGACCTCGGTATCATCGAGTTCTGTATTTATTGTTAATGCTTTAGAAAGTATAACTTCTAGCAAAGAGGCAAGGAGGAACAAGAAATTGAAAGAGAGTGTGGCCAAAGCTTTAGGTAGGCTCTGCGTTAGAAACCCCAGGGGCAGATAAAGCCCGATGATTGGACTTAAAACATGCATCTAATTGCGCGTTTGATTTTCAAATGGTTCACTGATTATAATACGGGTTTATCCACAGATATGATTCAACATGATGAGAGTGGAAAAGAAAGGTGACTAGCATGATTGACTATATTACTATGGTTTATTGCCGTCTCTAATTTTACTGTCTGTCGTCTTCTTTTTGTCCATGTTTCTCTTGTTCAATTCTTGTAGCCAAAACCTAAGCGGCTTTGACGCATATATAATTTTTGAACCTCTGCAACTAGCATGTCAAACAGGCTCCACGAGTTTAATGATCACAGCGCTCGACTGCATAAGTAAACTCATCTCTTATAACTATCTCATAGAACACGACATTCGCTCTTCTACTCTGCCGATTGATACTACTTTACCTCCGACTGAAACCAAACCCGAGAATGAATCCGAAACCACACCGGCAAAGGTGGAGAAGCGACTGTTGATGGAAATGGTAGTTGATACAATTTGCGATTGTTTTGTCGGTGAGAGCACCGATGACAAGGTTCAATTACAGATTATTAAGGTATAGAGAAGGCGGTGTGGGAGGAGTTTGGGAATTTGTTTACTCTATTTAATGAATACTACGACCGCGATAATATGCCGCACGCATTTGTTGAACTATTCTTCCTCGCCGTCTGTTCTTTTATAGGCCCTTTTGGCCGCAGTATCATCCACAACAAATCCGATACATCAAACCCCTCTCCTCAAGGCCATCCGCACATCTTACAACATCTTTCTACTTTCTCGCAATTCGGCAAATCAAACCATAGCTCAAGGCACGCTGACCCAAATGGTTCACCATGTTTTTAGCAGAATAAAACTTGACGGATTGACGGCCTCCCTTCCCTCTCCAACCTCTTCTATTCCTAATAGTAATTCCAACTCGAATTCTATCGCTGGGAACATTAATTCGCCCTCTACCATGTCATATGACAACATGCTGTCCCATACAATCGCCTCTTCTGGGACAGCCGAGACTGAAGTAGATTTGGGAACCATTACCAAATCAGATGGTGATGACGTTCATTCCAATGACGATGAGGATGAGGATAAGGATGAGGATGACGACGACGACGACGATGAGAACGTGAATAAAGCTGGGAAAATTGGGCAATTGGAAGAAGGAAACGACTCTAGAGAGGAGATAATGAAGGCTGTTGAGGAAGAAATGGAAGGAATAAGAGGCGAGGATAGTAATGGGAAAGGTGCCCAGAATGGAGGGAGAGGCGGTAGCGAAATTTACTATATCGAGACTTACTATAAAACTTTATTTTATCGAGGGAAAATTTAATAATTCGGTTTTTTGTTCAGAGAAATTCTTGACTATAACGCGAAATTTACTATATCGAGACTTGACTATATCGAGTCTTGACTGTAACTTGTTTAGGATTAATGCCTACCGATAGACATCAGGTCGTGAATAGAAAGCCTGACGCGCTCGGATTTGGCCAAATCTCCAGAAATATATGTACGAGTTTCAAGAAAGATAGCAAAGCTATGAGTTGGGTTTATCGTGAGCGATTTTTCTGCAGTGGTAAACATTGGCTTCATGGATGTCCGGCCAATTTACGACAATACTATTCTTGAGATTATCGAGACAAATGAAGCATACCGTTCAATGAGAATATAACAGTTGGTAAGTAGTGGGCGATTGCTGAGAACAGGAACAAGTGCTTGAATGAATCTATTACTTACCAGGTGGCTGGCACCATAATAGCAAACACATTTATTCATTTGGGCGAATTAGAAAAACGTACCAAGACAATTTATTGATTATAATTTTATCGCGGGTGCGGGGTGCATATCCGGATAGAATACTTAATGGACAGATGCTAGCCCTTTTGATACGATCAAAAATGGGATAAAAATCCGTGTGCTGGATTGGAAATGAAACAGTGAAGCAAATATTCCCTTTTTTGATTACTTCAGGGTATTTGGATGCTCGCACTAACACTAAAAAGGAAGAAAATTAGATAAATCGCATATGACGTCCAATTTGTTACAAGCGCGTCCCATTTATTCACTATGTACAGTACATATCAGAATACCCTATAAATACAAAATTTAATATAATTCTACACATGTCATCTAATAATACTAATAATGATAACGATAATGATAATAGATATGTTGTCCTAATTTATCTCATTGCCCAATTATACATATCGATATGGATGGTATAGTACATCTTACTCTATAATGATTTAATTGGCCGCACCCTTGTTTCTACAATTATATTGATTGATGTTATACATTTCACAAATTTATATTAACATGCAGTCAGTATCATATATCCGGATATGCAGACTGGCGATTGTTTCCATAATTATTGACTGCTTCATCGGATGAGTAGTCCTGCTCTTCATTCACGTATAGCTGCTCAATAAGGCTTCTGTCTCTTAAATTCGGAAAACGCAATAATCTGCTGACATAATGTGTGCCTGCTACCGGATCATACACTTCTCTTTCAAATTGTGCCAGGCTATCCGTAAATCGTTGGGCCTCATCGAAATCCCTACCCAGCTCACTCCTGCTTGTCATCTCAATAATCCAACTCTGTATAGTCTTATTTACTATAGCCGCGCTTGGTCTTTTAGACTGATCTTCATCCCAACATTCCATCATCAGTCGGCTATAGGCTTTCGGTATTTCATCAACTTCCTCTGGCCTGCGTTGTTTGTAACATATCTCGTATGCAAGCCTTTCGTTATGCGGATTGTCATCAAATGGCCTTTGCGCAGCAGCAACAGACCACATGATCACACCGAAACTGTAAATGTCCGCCGCTTTAGTATATTCCTGCCCGAGTAATATTTCGGGCGCAATATACGGTAACACGCCGTATACACCATTACTTAAAGATGAGTCGGCTGGTCCATTTAATCCAACATCAGCAATACGCGCGTCTACTGTGTTCGAGACGTGATTCAGATCCACTAACACATTGCCTCCATGTAGATTACCATGTATTAAATCAATTCTGTGGAGAAGTTCCAGTCCTTCTGAAATTCCCCAAATCGTTTCCACTCTTTTTTGCCAAGATAGCTCCAGTCCTTTTTTGTCTATAAAATCGTAGAGATTGCCAGCCTCGTAAAACTTCATTACGAACATGTAGCAGCCCGTCATGTCCCTTGTAATTCCATATGTATCTACCATATTGTGGTTGTAAAGAGCGTTTTGATTTTTAGACATCTGTCAATTTAAAATATAATATTGGCATAAAAGGCAAAGTTTAAGCATAAAGAGCCCGTAGTATGTAATTACAAATAAAGTACATGAACAAAGTGGGAAAATATGCATTACATTCGATGATCTAAGCCATGTTGATTAATCACTGTTTCACTCCACACTCACCTTCTTCAAGAATTCCTTGCTCATTCCACACGAATTATCCAACCTCTTAAGTGCAACTTTAGTAGGACCCAGTCGTCTCCACTCTAATGAAATCTCATCCCAAACACTTCTCGGTCCTTCTAACCAGATAGCCTTATATACTGCACCGAATCCGCCCCTCTCATGATACGTGATGAGTTCAAACTGATCAAAGGGAATCCATTCCAAGAAATCTCCCCCTTGTTTGGCATTTTCTTGCGAGGCACGAACAATGGCATCAATCTGCTCGTTCCCACTTGTCCAGGTTGAAAAGTTTTCTTGAAACCATTGTGATTCGCATGCATGACACCAATTGAAAATTGTACGTGCTCTACCACAATCGCGGCAGTTACCATAGCGTTCCGACGGTGGGGAAGGAGGTTGTGATGGTAAGTTCATTGATATAATTTTTGCTTTATTTATAAAGAATTAAGTTTGTCGGTTTAGTTTGGAAATGTGGTCGACGTGCGTATTGTTGAATGTTGTGATAGTCAAAGACGTTTTACTCGCTGTTGTGTTTATGAATAGTGTATGGTAGAAATGTCGATTCGGGTGTACTCGTTTTTCAACAATTACTATTTTGCAAAGAGAAAAGCCTTCGAATTCTTAATATATAACGAGGGCAATACTTTCGGCTGATATTACTGTATTAATATAGAGCTTGGTGCTACGATGTCTATTGGGTTATTTTCTTGAGTAACATCAGATCAAAGCTAAAACCAGAACAATCATATCCGTGCATTGTGCCAAAAACTATTTCACGTGGGCAAAAATCACTTCGAAATAATTAATTAATATTGCTCAAGTAATAAAGTACATTTATCAAATAATACAACAATCTCTGATACAAAAAATAGTTATACATTCAGTTGATTTTTACATCATAAATAAGTGTCCCTTTTTTAAAACTAAATCCATTCTATAAATTACTCGCCCACCTTCCCTGTTAATGAATCATATACATTGCATATTTACTATTCCACCCAGTACTATTATGGATGTCATTATTTCATTGCTCTACTATTTCATTGCTCTAATATATTATGTCTTTTCATAACAAAAGTACAGGTAAAGCATCTGATGAACTACTAGAAACACATAAATTTACTTCTCTTTGCTATTAACTCTTCCATTCTACTCTCTAACAACAGCCTAGCTCTCTCCGCCTTCTCTTTAGCTTTTCTCTCTTCCTCTCTAGCCTTCCTCTCCTCTTCAAAGCAATTCTGTAATTCTCTCTTTTCTTCTTGTACCGATTTGGCCTTTTCAAGTTCTGTTAATGCATTCTCCAGTTGCAGACGTAACTTCTTCACAGCCTCTGATGATTCGGTCTTTTCTTTTCGTAGCGTATCAAGTTGTTGCTTGGCAGTACGGAGCTCCCTTTCATATTCGGTGACTTCATTCTCAAGCTCAGATACTAATTGACTGTTTTGGACACTCTCTCCTTCCAACTTGGCAATCTTCTTTTGAAGCTTCTGTACTTCGGCTGATACGTCATTCTGTGTTTCGGGATGAGGAGATCGAGGGCGTTGAGGTATGCGTAGAGGTGGTGGCAGACCACCCGGAGACGAAACGTCGGGTGACGGTGGCGGAGGAAGCTCAGTGGGAGGAGGAGGAAGTGGTAGATTAGGTGGTGGAGTTGGAGGAAGTGACTTGAGCATATTTGCTGCAGCACCTGGTCGTAGTCCGGTACGTTTAACAATGTCTGATGAGAAAGAAGACGAACGTGACCGTGTTCGGGGACGTGTACGAGCGGCATTAACCATTGCATCAATTTCTGTACCTTGCATGTTGACGGTAGGCGCACTAACGACTTTTTGTGCATTCCTTCGTTCGAGATCGGCAATCTTCTCTTGAAGTGATTTAATGAGTACATTCTGTTGTGTTATGGTAGCTTGGACTTTAGCCGGAATTGTGTTATCGTTGAGAATATTATGTGATGCGCCATCTTGTATGGTAGCACTTGGAAGAGACACATAGCCAGAGTCCCATGACTCATGACCTCCCTTGGTGTGAATTTCAGATCGATCCTTGAGTTCACGATCTAGTCTTTCATTTTCGACAAGCAACCTTCCAATTTCTCGCTCCATTTCTAAAGAATCCTGCTGTGCCTTTTGTTTTTTGTCCACAAGTTCATTCTCCAGTGAATTAATCTTGAGATTGAGTTCAGCAAGCATTGCTGCCGTTGAATTTCCTTCCGATCCAGAAGCTTGGAGTTGCTGAATCAACGATTCTACTTTCTGGTCCAGCTTCCCTCGTTCTTCAAATAGAGTTCTATTAGCTTGTTCAAGTCCTTCGTTTTCTGCTTCAAGAACATTGATTCTTTCTGTTAGAAGCGCATTCGAACCGTTGGGTTGGGTAGATGATTTGTGTTGAGCGAGTTCAAGCTCGATTTGTTTCATTTGCTCTTCGAGGGATTTAACAAGCTCAACTTGCAACGCTTCAGAAGCCTGTGCCTGTTCGAGCTCGGTTTGTACTTTTGAGAGGTCTTCTTTCAATGATAGAACATCTAAATCTCTTTGTTCTAACAAGTGCTTTGTTTGATCGTGTTGCATACTAATTTGTAGTATAGTGTTATACGGATCTTCATCACTTGCGAATATTTCTTCAGCTTGCTTTGACTTAAGTTCAGCTTCTGCCAACTTGGTTTCCAGTTCGTTCACTCTTTCGGTCTGCGCTCTCTCGGCAACTCTAGCATTTTCAAGTTCCAATCGGGTGTTTTCTATTGAAGCTTGTAGCTGTTCGACTGTAGAACTGTTGGACGCTGATTCATTTTCAAGAATGGAAGTTACAGATCTCAGCTGTTCTTCCAATTCGGCGACAACCATAGAATGTTTCTCTTCGGCGGACCCCAGCTGTTCTTCCAATTCGTGAATAACCGCAGTCTGTTTCTCCTCAACAGCTTTAGCACCAGCAAGTTCTGATTTAACTTGTGTAATATCTTCTTCCAAGTGAGAGATCTTTTCTTCGTCTGCCTGTTTCGATTGAGTGTATTCTCGCTGTAATTCAGCAAGCGCCAATTCGAGGTCAGCCGTAGCTTTCTTATAATCAGCATCTTTTTGTTCGAGCAATTTCGTAAGCTCATCACTACGCTGTAAGGACTCGTCCCTTTGTCTTTCGGTAGTAGATAGTTGATTCTCAAGTTCTGTCAGAATATCGTTCAATGCTTGCATTTCAAGTTTACTATTGTTAAGTTGCTCGCGAGCTGCTTTTTCATTTTCGGCTAATACTGTTGAGATCTCGTCCTCTAATTGCTTAACCATAACCTCAAGTTCTTCTTTTTGTTGCAGAGTCTTATTAAGTACCCTGCTGAGTTCGTTCAACTCGTCTGAACCAGACTCAGAATTATTTCTAGTATTATATAATTCTTTTTGTAAAATTTCAATCTCACTTTCTAGCTTGACAACCAACTGCGACTGAGTTTCGAATGCATCTTTCAAATCTTGCAAGTCTTTGTCCACTTCATCCTTTGATTTGCGTGATAGTGCGAGATCGGCTTCGAGCTGTGTTTTTAGTTCTTGCATTTCTTTCACTAGATTTTCTTCGCTCTCTTGAGCCTTCCTGAGTTTCTCTTTTAACTCTTCTGCCTCTTCCTCTTTTTCTAACAATTGCTTCTGTATAATGTTCTTATCAAGCAGATCACGTTTTAGTACTTCAATAACGTCATGCTTTCGTTTTATATCTGCATTAAGTTCGTCAAGATGTGTTTGAAGAGAGGCAATAGTTTCCTGTTGTGTTTGCAAATTGTCATCAGTTGTCGATTTGGCAGCAAGTTCTCCTTCCAATGCGGAAAGCTTTTCCTTGAGTGAATCGACAGTTTTCTGTGCGACGTCTGAAGAATTTGGGGAGGTCTGTGACGCTTTTGAGCTATCAAGTTGGGACTCTAATGACTTAATTTTCTCTTCCATTTGTCGAAGCTTCTCGGCTGCATCAGATTGATTTTCCGCTGCTTGATCAGTGAACTCATCAGATTTTGCGGCATCTTCATTAACGGACTCTAAAGACAAACGATATTGCTCCCTTGCTTCTTGAAGTTCGCTCTCCAGACGCTTTATTGTATCTTGTTGTTGCATGAAGGGTAGTAATAAGGAATTAATAGTCCGGTTTTTTATTTCAATTTCTTTTTCGAGATTTTTCATGTTTTGGCGAAGTGAAGCTTGCATTTCTTCGGATTGCGACTCGAAAGCTTGCTGGTTTGCCTTATTCGCTTCTAAAAGTTTCTCCTCCATTTCCTTTATCTTAGACTCTAGTCCATCGACAGCGTCGTCGTTAATTTTGACATTCATCGCAGCTTCCTTCTCTTTAATAGCAGAGTGTAGCTGACCTTTTAATGTTTCTATCTCACTCTCTAACACTAGTACATCATTACTCTTCCTTTGCTCGGCTAGAGACTCAACCAACCGTTGTCGCTCTTTTAGAGAATTGACCTCCTTGGCCAACTCTTTGACCAAATCAAATCGAGCAGCGACTTCACCTGTTTCAGCAGACGTGAGACCATTAATATGCTTATCCTTATTTAATTTGATCTCTTCTTTTAGTTTCTCAATGATTTGCAAAGCTTCACGATGACTAGCTTGTAAGTGCGCAAACTCTTCCTTTATTGCTTCAACGTCTTGCAAATGATCGCCTTGCAACTTATTAAGCAATGCAGTAGCATTAAGCTCATAATCCTCGGCGCCGCGAATTTCCGTACCCAGAGACCTTGCTCTACGAGGCTGCGGCCGTCCATCTGCTTGCTGTTCTCCAGAGGATGATTTAAGAGTGAAAGAATTTCGAGGAGTTGACATGTTTGGTAATTCAACTGCCATCATTTTTGCTTCTTGAAGCTGTGACTGTAGATCAGCTATTTCATCAAGGCACGCTTGGTACTTTGTTTTGACATCCATGTATTCTGCAACCGTGGCACCGTGAATCCGTTGAAGGTCGGCTAACTTTCCTTCGAGCTCCGCGTTGGAGGAGTTATCCCGTTCATTTGTGGGCGTTGCAGCTTTGGAAGTTGTTGGCGTGGTAAATGGTGTGTCTTTATCAACGTCACTAATGATCGAAGAAGTCGATATAGATCTATTGTGAGAGACGTGGTCGTGGTCGTGTTCGTGCTCCTTGAGTTTTCTAAGCTTTTCTACTTCATTTATAAGCTCCTCGACTTTCTTTTCTAACTGGGTTATGCGACGGTTACGATCAGTAAGGGCATTAAGTAGCGTCTGTTTGTCTGCTTCGACATCTGCTTCTTTCAATCTATCTTCCAATTCCTGATACGATTCTTCTTGTCGCTGGAGTCTCTTCTCTAAACGTTCACAAGTTTGAACAAGTTGTTGTCGAGCCTCTTCACTCTTAGACAATCTTGTCTCGAGATCTTGAATATAACCTTCGCTGTTAGACCCATTATTTTTCATTTGGTTGATTTTCGATCGCAGATCAGTAATTAGATCCTGGTCTTTTTTCTGTTCGTCGGCATGGCGTTCTAGCTTATTCTCAAGATCCTTGATATATAACTCAGCCGACGCCTCCCGTTCTTTTAATTTACCCAGCTTACTTCCGAGATCGGCAATCAGATTACCATTTTGTTCGATGGTTTGTTTAGCTTGTTCGATCTTGCTTTCTTGTGCGAGAAGTAAATTTTCAGAGTGGTTGAGAGCAGCTTGAGCGATGGCAAGTCGACTTTCTAATGCAGAGATTGACCTTTCATATTCTTCTATTACAGGTTCCACAGCGGCTTGAAAACTAGCAGAGGCATGTCTGAGAGAGATTCGATCATCATCCTCTTTCCCGACGGCAAGATTACCATTTGGCATCTCACCATCTGCGTTCACGGCATTATCTTGATGCTTGGCAAGTTCAGCGTTTAGCTTTGCATATTTTTGTGATAATTCAAAATATGATTGCCGTAGTTCCATCAATTGTTCTTCGTATGCATCTATGTCAGCATTTTTCTGACCACTAGTTGAGCCTGCGCTTGAAGATACAGAAGCTCGGCGTAATTGTAATAAATTATCTTGACCGGCGCTTGGTGGTGTAACACTAGCGCCTGGTTCGCTAACGCCTCCAGCTTTTAATGATTTAATCTCTGCTCTTAATTTAAGTACTAAACTCTGTAAATGTTCTAAGTCATGCCATCCTACTTCTTCCTGATTGACCGACGCCGTATTCTTGATGTTACGAGCTCTATTAGCGTATTTAAGTGTATTTATTGTTTCGTTAAGATTATATTCTGCAGGTGATACGCACGCAATCATGAGTGTTTGTGCGTTTCCACCGAGTGAGTCTTGTAACAAACGGGTGAGTTTCGAGTCCCGATACGGAATATGAGTTGTATGTTTTGCTTTGTTGGGATCGCCCAGAGCAGATATTACATTTCCTAATGCGAGTAAACCGGAGTTGATAGATATCCCTTCTTTTGCACGTTCACCGACTGCTGATGTGCGTTTTAACTACAACAAAAAGTGAATCCATTTAGTGTCATTCAAGTTACATACCAAAATTTCTCGGGTTTATAAGATAAAAAATTTTCAAACTCATGAATCTGTAATAAATTATACGTCAAGGCAACCCTCGTAAATTAGAAAAGACATGTATTGTGCGCGCAAAAAAAAAAACACATTATGCTATTTGCAATTACTCAGAATAGTTTTATATTCCCAAATATGCGTCTCTTTCATCTGTCTTCCAACTTACTTACCCTTTCACTGCCGGCCAAATCCACGAAATGAAATTTGCTGGTGATAGTGACCCAATTCCCTTCTTCTTCGGGTCTCTTCCCAATTCGAGAACTTGCCCTTGTCGGTGGTTGTAATCGAGTTGGTGTAGATGGCCGCACGATTCCCGATTGAGCAAGAGAAGACACAGGATTCGCTCCGCCGGATGAGACTTGTTTTTGTTGAGTGAGAGTAACAGAGAATATTGCGTGCGATCGCGATGATTGAGCATTCATATCTGTTGCTCCCACTTGACGATTAAGTGAACCTCTCGTCAAGTGGCTGTCAGTAGAGTTATGGGTTAGGATAATGGTATTATGATGAATTTACGCAATACGTAGACGATGCCAGTCATACCTCATTACTTCATCAGCAGAATTAACTTTGAATTCTTGTAATCCGTTCCATATAATTTTTCCCTTTGTGTCTTCTCTGATTGTTACTTGCGGTCGTTCCTCTCCATATGATTCTCCCAAAAGATCTATTAATTCTTCATTGTATATTTCAATAAATGATACCTTGGTTGTAAATCGTCGATTCTTATATTTTGGCGAGTTCATATGAGAGAAAACTGTTGCCATAGCTCGCGGAATAATGCCTTTTGTTTCTGGTGACTGTGATGTATTGTCTGCTGTTCCCATTGTGAATGTTTTCCCGGATGATGTTTGTCCATACGCTAGAATAGTCACATTGTACCCTAATAAAGATAATAGGTATTGATTGATTGATCGTTAATATAATAAAACTTGGTAAAGTGGGACTATTATGACAGAATCCCCCATTTCCCGTCCGGTTCTGTTAAACCATATTCTACATCATAACTATTACTTTCTTCCTCCGTTATACTCTCTCTCTCTCTCTCTCTCTCTCTCTCTCACTCTCACACATTTCATTCTCATGTATTACCTTCCATAAATTTGTCAACCAAATTAAGAACAGCTGCTTCGTAGACCTCTTTTTGCGTTGTGTCCGGCCCAAATACATGATCATATGAAAACGTGGGTTTTTTTTCAGCTTGAACTACAACCTGATTTTGAGTATTTGGTGGAATAGTAAGAACTTGCCGTTGGAATCGAGTCGGTAGATTTGCCAAGTCAGCTGTTGTAATAGGTCTGATACGCAGTGCTGTTATTTACAACAAATATCAAGTGGAAACGTTAATAATATTAGACAACAGTTTCTGGGTACTATACTATGATTCATTAAGTAGTTTAATTTATCCTTCTAGTAAGTGCTACTAACTAGTCTATTTGTTAAATATGAAAATGTACATAATACTATATAGATTCGCCTAACGACGTTCTTCATCAATGAAACGGTAAACTTCACTCTAAGAGTCTTCTCAGCCAAGAAGACCAGGATTTTCAAACTTTACTTACCCACTTGCACTGAAGTCTTCTCCGACCCTGACCCTGCAGTGGTCATTTTTTATTTACATGCAATTGGAAATGCGAACGTCTCGTTCAAATCGTGTTTATTCAAAAAGCTAATTTCAGTCGTAAATCAAAATCTTTATTTCTTTATACGATTCTGGCCAATAATTTATTCCATGAAATAAAGAGGAAAAAAAAATAGGTCAATTAAGCGGTCAATTTAATGGTCAAGTAAAATTAATATCTTTGGAGTGACAACATCGACAGTTATATGTTTGAAGATGAAGATCGCGTGGATAGCTGCACATGACAGTTACACAGGTGCTAGATGTTCGTTGTGTTCCAAACTCCCAATTATGGATAGCTTCGAACTAGAAATGGAGGAGGGCGTAGATGATTCATTGTGCAAATGTACAGGTCAGCCGTTTCAGATCCGCTGTATCCCCTAGTTTTGGCGAGTGAAACATGGGCAGAAGAATAGCACTATTGTGTCTAATTTGTATTTCGAATATCCTTTACTCTAATAGCCACAGCATTCCTATGGGCTTCTAATCCTTCGATTTCGGCTAATCTCATGACGGTATCGCCTATTTTATCTAATCCATCCATTGTTAATTTCTGTGCTGTCATATGCTTCAAGAATGTCTGTGTGTTCACACCAGAATACATTCGAGCATATCCATAAGTGGGTAGCGTATGGTTAGTTCCGGAAGCATAATCGCCACAACTGTGAGTATAAATAGACGATAAATAAGCAATATCATGAGTCAAAAAACCAATATCATGAGTAAACCAGGAAACTCGAATAATCAAAAAAATAATTAAATAAGTAAGCAAATAGTTAATTAATTAATTACTATTCACTTATTTATTTGTGTATAATGTCTTTACCTTTCGGGAGAGTAAGACCCCAAGAATATGCTTCCAGCATTGTCTATTTCGTTAACCCATGAATCCGCATCTTCCACATGTAATATCAAATGTTCAGGCGCATAATCGTTGGAGAATTTAAGAGCATCACTCATATTCGCCACATTCAAAATAAAGCTTTTTGGAATAGACTGTCTAACTATACCAACACGCGGCAGGCAAGAAGCCTGTTTGTGGATTTCCTTTTCGATTTCTTCAAGTTGACTTAACGAAAGTGATACCGCAACAAGCACAACCTGCGAGTCTTCGCCATGTTCGGCTTGCGAAAGTAGATCTGATGCAACATAAGCGGGAACACTAGACTCATCAGCGATCACTAATAACTCGGATGGACCAGCCGGCATATCAATAGATATCATTGCAGAACTATCATTCTGTTGGTAAAAATTAATTATTATAATTAGGATCATAGGTATAATTAAATCACCTGACCAATACGTTATTTCTTACCTGAGTAAGCATCTTGGCAGCCGTCACATATTGATTACCCGGACCGCAGATCTTGTCTACCTTTGGCACACTCTCGGTCCCATATGCCATGGCGGCCACGGCCTGCGCACCACCAGCTAACAACACCTTTGTAGCCCCTACTTTATGAGCAACATATAACACCTCGGGAGCAACACTCCCATCCTTACGCGGGGGGCATGCCAGTACAATTTCTTTACATCCAGCCACCATCGCTGGTATTCCTAACATCAAAGCCGTAGATGGCAACACAGCTGTCCCTCCTGGAACATACAGACCAACACTCTTAATTGGGCGACTGAATCTATAACAGGTTACCCCTGGCATAGTACTCACTACCAAGGTCGATCTATCATATTGCGCTTCGTGAAATTTGAGGATATTATCGAATGCTTGATCTATGGCAGATTTAGTAGCATCGTCAACAGACATCAATTCTGGTGGGAAAGGCGATGCTAAAACTGGAGACTGAAGACGTATTCCATCATATTTTGCAGTTAAATCGAGAAGGGCAACGTCTCCTTTTTTTCGCACATCATCAACAATAGGTCGAACACGTTCCAATATTTCGTCGGACTTGATTATAGGACGCAGTAGTAACGATGACCTCTTCTCAGGTGTGATCTCTGACAAGTCATATTTCTGCATTTTTATAATTCCTTCTGCTCCTATTTTCTCACTGGCTCTTTCGTCTACTTGCTTATCACTACTATCGGTCGAGTTATTGGCATTCAATAAGACGTTCTTGTCATTATTATCACCATCTGGCTTAGTCACATCCCGCTGTGTCTTAGCATTTCCCGGTCTACGCGTTATCTTCAGAGCACGCTTGTTCAACTGTTCTTCTATATCAGCTAACGTCACATCATTAGCGATGCATTTCGTCAGTGCGAAATAAATAAGATCTGCCGCCTCCCATGCTATATTTTCCTTACTGGTTGCCGAACACAACTCATCAGCTTCCTCCATTATTTTAGACCTGAGAAGATCAGGCTTTTGGAATAATTTTTGAGTGTATGATCCAGGCGGGGCCGATACTTTGCGACTTTGAAGCGTTTTCTCGAGTGCCTTCAAGCCGTTGTAACGACCAAAGCATGTATTCGTATTAAAATGACAGAAACCTAATTAAGCAAAAAGTACCACGTCGCAAGGTAAATTAATTGTCTCAATGCGGAAACAAAAAATGCGCTATTGGCAATACATTAACACGAAGCATGATCACGTTATATTTACCACTTCCGAGTTGCTCAACTACGAATCTCAGAGCATCCTCATCACAGTCAATATCAATACTCTTTAAATTCTGAACGGCACCAGAGGTGGCACCCTTGTACCAGAGTCCTCTCTTCCTACTCTGATATACTCCTTTCTTAGTTCTTATAGCTTCTCTTACACTTTCTCGCGATGAATAGACTAAACCTAATGCAATACCTTGTTCATCAACTACAACTGTTGTAAACAATCCATCGGCTCGATCTGATGTCAATGAACAAGTAAAAGCATCAGCAATGTTGATCTTTGTGGTCTTGTCAGGTTCTTTTAATGTTAATGCATCAACCGAGACCAGAAATCGACCATTAAGGTCAGACAATTGTTTGATAAGTTCCAACTCCGGTTTAATTGATGGGGGTAAAATCATCCCAACATCCTTCCGGCCACCAGAGGGAAGTGGATGCTTTTGGACATGTTTAATCAAAACGGACACTTGGTCCAAGATTGAGTCAAATATTGACAATATACTGCTGTTGTTGTAGTTAGTAGACGGTATGATTAGGTATGCAGAAACTCTTTCGGATGAAGCATCAGTTAGCTCAGGTGAAGCGGAATTCAGTGTCAAACTTGCTACCAATCTCTCGGCCGGAATATCGTCGATTCGAAGCTTTTTTAGTATAAACTCTAAAGAAAGCACAACTTTTGTTGCTCCATCATCGAGTAATTTAATTAAACTACGTACGTCTAGAGTATCCTCGCGTTGAGGGAATATCCAATAATCTCTTATATGATATCGATCTCTAACCTCAATGAGAACGCTCAAATCATCAATACTATCGATAAAAAACACGGTTGTCCCAATGCAGTTCAAAGAACTCAAGACGTCATGAATCTCGTCTGAATAGGGGATTGGATTAGTCAAATCAACTACTGGGAATATCATAATGTCTCAGTTAGGGCTGAATGCGCTTGGTAGTAAAAGAAATACTATCACGAGGAAGGTGGGTAAGAAATACCAGAGTCGGATATAATTTTGATCTCCTTCTCCAATCACAAATTGATTTGTGTGACTGGAAATCAGATACAGGCGTTACATAATTTCCTCTTTATCGTTTCGCCAAGAATAAGAATGAATGAAATTTTTTTATTATGCCAACCAATAAATTTACTATCGCAGTCAAAACGACATGTGAAGTTTGCGAATTTCCAGAATTTATTATAGCAAAGCGCCTGTTCAGTGAGGTGGAATATAATAATAACTGGCACAATTATTATATGGGGCAGACTGCGACAAAATGAACATTTGATCATGTGAGCTAAAAGAGGCTGATGTGGCTGGAAAATCAACTGATAATATTTGGTTGAGGCTTTGCTTAATTTTCAGCTGTGGAAATCAAGAACAAAATTTTAGGCCATTTCCCTATGTTAAAAAAGAAATAACGCAAAGGTGAGGGTATTGCTATTTTTACAGATAAATTCACTTTCAGCGAAACAAAAACAATTGATTGCATCAAAGTATTTTTAATCCACACAAAAGACTATACATGTTTTTTTTAATCGCAAGCAAGACATTTGCACTGTCCAAAAAAGTTTTGTCATATGAAAATGGTTCGTTATATCGTCCTCAGACAAGAGTCTGCAGACAAGAATAATACATAATCTCTTGGAGCAAAAAACTAGTAGTCAAACGTTAAAGTTAAGAAAATGTTAAAGAAACGATTGATATTGTCACCCTCTCCGAACAACAAATATAGTGACTTCTCGTTATCATGTCATGCGTACTAGTAAGACGGAATGATTAAAGTTATCTGTGTGATAACAATAAAGCTCGTTATGATCACACTTTTGGTGTTATACTTTAGTATTGATGTCATAAGAAATGATTAACATTTTGCATTCAATGATAAAGCTAAAGCACAAAAGATATTCACTTTAAAATTATGTACTTTGAAGTTTCATCACATGAAACATTTTCACTTATTGGTGTTATACTTTTCATCTAGATACAAATTAGACCAGTGAAATGACGCAAAATTGGTGTTTGAGTTACTGTATATAAGCGACCGTTATCCCATCGTCTAGCTCTCATGTTGAATGATGTTGAATGTTGAAACGTTGTTCTAATATTGTTGTTATACTTATACACGGAATAAATAAACAAATTTTAATTCCCTTTAAATTACTTTCTTTCTATCGTTGATCGTCGAATTTATCGTAATTATTATAACAACGGACAATACTTGTTGCCTACAGTATTTCGAGACTGTTGTGGTGATAAGATTGAGTAGCGGGTGAAGATCTAGTGAAAGTTTGTCCGTTCAGTTAGTAAAGCAATCGCTTGAAAGCGTACAGTAACTGGATAATATTTGGCGAACGACATGTATTTCTTTTTATTGTTTAATTGGTTATTAGATTAAAAAGTGACGCATATTGACATGTCAAATACCAAACCTTGCTTATTAAAGGATAGTTCCCCTTCGATTCTGTAGAATAGTATAGTTGTTAATATTATTCGTAGATTCCCTTACTTGGATACGAACGTTGACTACGTTACGTATAGGGATTAGGAAGCGCGCATAATTAATTAAGAAGAAACGTCACTATAGCTTAGCATTCGGTCTTAGTTGATACTGTCGCTGTAGTAAGGGCAGCGATAGCCCCTGTCGGCCGAACTGCCTACAGTTTGCTCTCCCACAAATCTCCCTAATTAAATACGCCGCAACACACATCCAATTCAACTCTTGATATCATTAATAACTTGAAGATTATTTGTGTATGATAATCTTGAAGGTCTCTTCAACGTTCTTGCTTCCTTAAAAAATAAAGCCACATTACGAACAAGTAGCTAACTTGTAACAATTAAATAGCAGTTAAGGCATATTCAAGTGTTCATAAACAAAATACACAAATTGATACATACGGCCCATTTCAAGATGCACTCATACAACCGAACAACTCGGAAACGTCAAAAACGCGTATCTGCGATTTGTACACCCTCATCAATGTCACGTGTTGAATAAAATTTATTGTTTCCACGTGATTTATTATTAGTCATGGGACATGTCCCGTGTGCAGGGGTTCGATAGTGATAATCAACATGCCGATCACAATTTTTATATATGAAATTCTCGCAGTTACTCCTATTGCAACCCCCTATTAATGCAAATTTCCCGTGATATTTAATAGGCTGAAAATGCACTTGAAAAGTCTTTCTATCACGTCGTATAAACGTTTACTTCCTTCTTCCCTTAGTTCACTAAAGATCTTCGTTTAAAGTTAGAGTAGCTTACCCCCTGTAATAAATACACTAACACTAACTCTAGTAGTATATAATACTACTGAACTCGCATAAAACTGTATGGTAATAGTAATAGCCAAGTAATGCAGTTGTCTTGAGTTCACTGTTAACGTTTCCATTACCACTATGCTGTTTATTACAGCGACCGTTTTGAGATGGCGAATGGAAGATTCTGTAAGTGTGTGTGTGTGGGTGGGGGGAATGCAAACTCCCTGTTGGTATGTTTTAATATAATATGTGGGGGCCAGAGGGAATACGAACTCTGGGGCTATTCTGTTGGTATGTTCTAATATTCTTTCATTCCTTCACTCCATTACTTTGAAACACAGGTTGGTACGTAGTATATTGTATATAGTTGGGGGGTAGTAGAGAGCAATCACAGAATTCAAGACCGTCCTTAGCATTATGTGTATAATATATATAGTAATGTTCTCTTTCCACGTTTCAGGATGTTCTAGTTTGTACAAATAGTTGTGATTTGTAATATAGATAATGTATGTGTAAAAACTTGGAATATGGCCGGGCTAGGGTAGAGCGATGATTGATTGCAACATAGTAATGTCAATTCTGCAAATAAAATAAGGTGTAAGCCATCGTATTAATATTTCAATTGCTAATACTAATACTAATTGATCTTTTTACTTTCATCATAAACATGCTGTTAGAAATTAAATTATAGGGGGAGAATTAGAAGGAATAGTGGGCAAAGATGGAGATAAAGGATAGGGAGAGGAATTTTGAAGGTTAGGAAGGCAAATTTAATCATACTACTACTACATTATCATTATTATTATCCGTTAGGATGATGTTATATTCAGACGATCTTTAGCGCATTCAGTAAAAATATCTATATCTCTTTCTGCGCTATTTTCGGATCTAACTATCAAGATGCCGATAGTAGATTTTTTATCGTGATAGAACTCCTTCCAATGCTATTACGTCAGTTACTCTCACCCTCATCCCACTCTATAAGTAAATAAGAACTTTATTATTTATAAAACATAAACAAGAAAAAAAGAAAAGCTATTTACCTTGGATTGTCCTATTATTGTAAGTTCCCTAAAACCCCCACTAAGATCAATGCCCATCCCCAGGTTCATGCGTCATTCACCACAGGTTCTGGCGGCGCACGGGAACTTTTCGGTAACGGATATTTGAACGTTCACAGCTGGCCGTCCACCGCACATCAGGATTGGGTACCTGACTGCCGACTTTCGCAAACTCTGTGGCCACGAAGCGCTTTCAATTTCTCCGATACATAAAACTCAACAAATACTCAGTAAGAATTCTTACCTATAACGGCGAAAGGTATCCCTGAGATAATCATGATGGAGGGGTAATAGTTATAACTCAAATGATAATAATTGTTATTATTATATATTAGGAGTATGAGTATTTTGTAATTATATCATTCTTATTCCATATCATATCATGTATTCATATTGTTCTCGAACTTCAGTTATAAGGGAGTAATATTTATTATTATTATACAAAACATCAAAGACTAAGACTAATAATATTTTATTCTTATTTATTTAAGGAAGAGGCTAAAAGATCTCGAAGTTCAGCAATTTCTGACCTTAATTGTTGAACTTCTAGACGATATCCATAGTAATACAAACATAGGGGAAGTCACATATGAAAGTCCATATATTACTATGGCAAGTTCCCACTCCCTTTTGTTTTCATCACACCACATCAGATCATAGTCGACCTTGTGGCCAGGTCGATCCTCCTATGTTATTATTATATAATTTAAATAGTTAGCATTCATAATTTGTAAATTTTATGTCCTAACTAATGAACATTATTATGACATATTATTTTATCACATAAAAGTTCTAACACCAATACTATAGCCCACTCAAATTCAATCTTGAGGTTCACACTTACATCTCCTTCCATTTTTTGATTTGCCATGCGGGCCTTTGAGCCTGCAGAATAATAAATAATGCTCAGCCCTTAAATAAATATATATAAATACAGATTTAATATTAGTGCTAATTTAAATTATATATATAATGGTCACTATATAAATTGTTATTATATAAACATACCAGCTAATTTTAGATGCCTTCATTGAATCACAAAGTGTTTTAAGAAGGATTGATAGCAGCTCTACAGTCCATGAGTTTTCACTCACAGATGTATCAGTATCATCCATAATACCATATTGAATTATCCTGTCACTAAAAGCAAGAGATTATTAGCACATGAACATTATTAATTATTAATTATATGCCAAATAAAATAAAAAAGCAATTAATATGAGCAGACATACAAATCTGTTATGACATTCAATATATATTGTAAGAATCCAACAGGAAATC